AAATTACCTATCGCAATATGAGTGGGTGGGTATGTGGATAATCGTTACGATGAGTTCGAAGGGAATGTTTACTAAGACGTTACGTAATGCTATGATCTCAACTCGTGAGTAACAGAACGAACAGAATATTTTTATTTCTAAAGCGTTGCATTGCTAACTGTACTTTTATGTCACTGTTTTGTACAAAGCAGTGACATAAGAGTACAGTACTTTGTATTACTGCTTTTTACAGTACGTTAGACATTATAATGTCTGACGTACTGTAAAAAGCAGTAATATAATGTAACATTTTAAACTTTGTGCTGTGTATTATTCCTTAATACAATTAAGAGGTTTTGATCGAGGATATGCGTTATGTAAGCTGCGGTAGTGTTAAGGTTTAATTAGAGGTGGAATGGTAATTAACAAGTATAAATATAGCGTTATGTAATTGATGAATGATCCCTAAGACATTTGCGATTATTTACTATAATAAACATTATAAACATTATTCATCATTAAATTATTAAATATCGCAATTTTTAATATTGTCACTTAAATCTTCAAAATGTCCTACCTATTCTTACCTTTCTATTTTTCTATGTATTATTAACTCCAATCATCTCTGCAAACCAAGAATCACTCCATTAATAATTCTTGTGTTTCAGTTTTATATTTAGCTCTTTAATGAGCGTAAATATAAAACTTACGATCATTACTGAAGATTGTTTTCGTACATCTTAATCTTCCGTTATGCAACCGTCTGTTAAATTTGAAAGTGAATTAATAATTTTTTATTTATTTTAAGCTAGTAAGTCATTTTTTATTCCAATATTTTTATTTTTAAGACAGTATTTAGTTTAAAAATTATATTTTATAGTCAAATTTTCTAAGCTAAAAACCAACGAAAAGATTTATATCTTGCCATCAAATGATCTGTTAGTTACTAAGCGATATTTCATGAACAGTACTCTTGAATAGGCTGGTAATAAATATTTTATGATTTGTAATTAGAACGTTGTTTAGGAGATATTTTATCATAAATCAATTTTATCATTATCTACAATTTTTGTGAAATTATAAATTGGTTAACTCTTATAAGAAAACAAAGATAATGTCATAGTGTTTAATTATTTAAAAGAATGGCTATGCTATGAAGGATCTATTACAAGAGTTCATACATACTAATTTCAGTTTTTACGTATGTATAACATGTGTTTCATATATTTATTTGGAAATAAAGTAGTTTAATTGATGCTCTTATTTTGCTTTATTTATCCGTATGCTATCAAATTAACCCATAACTTCTATCACAACAATTAGGATGATTTACTATCATACATCCTAGATAAATATAAAATTTAATTAATGAAACAACTTATCAATTAAAACTATATTTACTTACAATATGGAATTATATAGGCCTACTTCTGAATATTATAGTTTTATGTCAATTCATTAGTTAAATTACATATATTATATATCAAAGAATAACACTTATATAAGTTATACATCTAAAAAATTTACATTGATTACTTACACGTTTCTTTTCAATAACTAGAAGTAATTCTTTCCTTCATTGTACATTTATAATATTAAGTACAGTATTCTTATTATTGGCCAACTATAAATGTCGTCAAACAAACTGATGACTAATTATTTTATCTATATTTTAATCTATTTTTTCCTCCTTTCAAAACTTATACGTATCTGAATAATAAATTTATTCATATCATGATCCAAAACAGATAAAGTTTATATAATTTTTGTTGTTATCAGTCGAATTGAGTCAAAAAATAAAAATTATAATCTTTTTAAATTTGTTACTACTACCAGTTTAGATTAAGTTTAAATAAACAAATATTTTATTTTTATTTTAAAAATTTATTTCCATTATTTACATCACTTGAATTGAACTTTGACAAACTTATTGTAATTAACTATGATAAATAATTAATAAAGTAAGATTTATAATGAACATGCTTGACATGTACCGTACAAAAACCAGTAGAGCCTGTTTAATTTTTATTCATTTGTGTAAAGTGTAAAAGAAAATAAATCCATTTTAAATTTTTTTCGTAAAAGTAAAAATAAATCCAAAGATTGATAATTTACCAGAATAAAATCAAAGTATAAAATAGTTTAATAAATGTTCTTATCAAGTCTAATATAGAAAAACTGTATTTGATATGTTGTCTAGTATCATTATTTTGGGTCCTGTTATGATTCACAATTTCAAATTAATGTATCAAATACTAGGGAGCTTCGCCCATTTGTTTCAATTTTCGTTACGATTCCTTGATTCCGCTGTTGCTATTATTTTTCCTTTTTTCTTACTTTATTTCTTACTTTATTCTACATTAAATATTTTTTATATACATACATCAAAGATACACAAAACAAATGATAACTCTGAAAGCCTTTTATGATGTAATATTGGAAGAAATAAGTTTTATTTTTGTAATCTCTATAAGATAAGAAATATAAATAATTAAGTTATGTTAACTATTTAAAAGTTATCTTTGAAATATACTGATGATATATATATATATATATATATTGGATATACAGCTAAACGCGCATCGAGAATCACATGTAAGTCAGGGAGCCGTCGCCTGGGGATATCAAGCTGGCTAGCACAGTTACTTCTGTCAGTTGGAAATGTCTTCTCTAAGTACAGATTATCCACTGTTCGCTCTTGCTGTGTCCAGTCATCTGAAAAAAGAGAATGTTCGGAAATATGATATGCACCCGCTTCATATAGCTTCCAGGCTTTCCTTTCGACGATTTCATACTTTGTTTAACGAAATCATCCAGAAAGAAATTTTGAGTACTATAGAAGTTGAGTGATTTTTTGAGTACTCATATAAGAAACTGAGTAGACAATGCGACAGGTGGCAACCTGAACGCTTTTATAACACGAGGAGCATTTCAATGTCATTTTATCATTCTCTGACTGCTGCTTCCGAAAAACGCTCCCATCTGTGTTTTCAAATCTGTCGGCGCAACCAGGTCGTTATTTTGACCCCTTTCTTATAAAATAATGTAACACAGTGGAGCAACCTGGTCGCAGCGACCGAATTGCCAGTTTGTCCTCGCTTTAAGCTATGTTAACACGGTTGTAAGCACGCCTAGAACGTGCTTACAACCTCAACCGTTGCTGTTGCATTATCCAGAAGGTAACAGTGTTTTCACGGTTGCGCAGATTATGTGTGACATATAGTTTACATCAAATTATTATACGAAGCAAAGAGAACAACTTTTTAAACATATAACTTACCCTCAATCCCTAATTTCTCTCCAATCCTTTTATTATTATTATGATTATTATTATTTTAAGTATTTTCGTCGATAGTCTATAGAACTGATGTTTCATAAAGCATTACATGGTTTAATCACTGGAAACGAGCTTCCAAAACAATATTCTAAATAGTCCAATAGATCGCCATCTTTCTACGTCACTTTATTCGACACTTCTCATTGGGTGGCGCTTGCAATCGGCGTGAGGAATTTCCTATCATTTGCAATATGCACGAGTGCATATTGCAATTGACAAGAGGATTTGGACAGGATTCAGTGGCGTAGCGAACATAACTGGCGCCCGGGACACGACACTTTATTGGCACCCCTCTCCCTCCAGTAATAAATCTTGTTTGTCTTTCCTGGGCGCCCTTTGCGAGTGGCGCCCAGGCATGACCCTCTTTTCCCCTTCGCTACCAAATAACTAAAATGGTTGCGGTTATCTGAGCACCTAGAAAGAGCAACCATGTGAACATAGCTTTAGACGAGTCGATATCAGCAACAATCAAAAGAAATAATAGTAGAATTACACACATATATAACTGTAATATGAAGTGAAGTAAATAATGTAAAAATGCAAATAGACAATATAGCAAGATAATGTTAGTGACGTTATGACAACATTAGCTATATTTTCTTACTGTCAAATTAAGATTTACTGCAAGGACTTTAATACTGTATTTTAAAATATAACAATTGGAATTATCTTAATTAAGATTACATTTTTTGTATAAATATAAATGAGTTATCTAGACTTTTCACTGAAAATTTTTTGAATAGTCAAAATTTCATGCAACAGCCATAAAGTACTGGCATTTGACAGATTATATAGAAACTTTGGTCACTGTTTATAACCTATATGTTGTTCTTTATATGTTTTAACATTTTATAAATGTTATAAAATGATGAGTTAAAACAATATCAATCATTCCCTTTAAATAAAAAAGAAAAGAAAATTTTTTAAAAATATGTTGCTATATCACAATATTAGGCCTACATTTAATATTGATGTTTCTTTTCACTTTTTTTTTTTTTTCATAGTATGAAAACAAGTTAAGATTTATCATAATAAAACTATCAAAATAGAATTTTTGAAATACCACGTATCTAAACATTTAATCCCAAGATATTATGAAATGCGATAAAAATGTTATTATTTTAAAAAATTCTTTTATAAGAACGTTTTTCTATTTTTAGATTTATATGTTAGAAATACTTTATTGTTTTCATAATAATAAAAATAAAATAGTTTTATGTCTGTTACTAAAAATCTTTAATATTGATACGAAATAGTTGATAGTGATGAAAATAAATATTACGAACAATACAAATTTTTATTTTAAAAAACTTAGATATAAGTTTACATAAACATGCAACAATACAAAAGTGATTGGAGAGTGAAATTAATTAAAAATTTCTCGGATTTAATACAGTTGAAACACTAAAAAAAATGTTAACATATAAAAAATATTTTTTATTCATTAACATGCAAAATAATTATAATAGATGAATATAAAATGGCATATTTATAACGAATAACATATGAAACAGAAAATATGCATTGAGAACAGATAGTTATTGTGTTAATTACAATTTTTAAAAACTTGAATTCAGTTCTCATCTTCAAAAACATATTTTTCTGATATTTTAAATGAGAAACATTTAACTTCGATGCTATTTATTATTTACAAGTGAAAATATATTATTGAAGTAAATAAAGTTTAGATCTGACAGTCTTTCATATAACTACTTAAATCTTTTCCATTACAATGATTTTTCCAAGCAGTCCTAAAAAGCAATATTATAATATATAAAGCAGAATAATTATTTACATATAAATTAATAAGGATTAAATAAACTTACCAAGCAGAGAAACCATGTATATCGAAGATCTTTCTGACGCATTTTACATCATCTGTTATATCATCGTTTCTTAAATCTGTAAAGAAGGTTTTGTTGCTTTTCAAGAGATATTTTTAAATACTAAACATTAATTAAATTTATAATTTATTAAATATTTTCTTTAAAATTATTTGCTTTAGTTACAAACGTAAAGTTGTTTTTATTGTCATTACGAATAAACTAAATATTCGTATCTAAACAACTATAATATCATAATATTATTAATGTATAAGGTTTTTGTATAGTAAATACATGTCAGTTATCCCCTTTAAATATATTATTAAATATACCTTCAATTATTAAAACATAAACATAAATTAATTAAAAATTAACCTGTACGTTGAATTCATTTAGAATTTTACATAGAGATTTCATTGTTATTCTTGAGATGAGAAAAATAGGTGAATTGTGAAAACTTTGTGTTTCTTCTCTACGTAAATGTTTTTTTATTAAAACATAAGTTAAAATTATTTATGTAAATATTAATTTCTATAAATAAATTTTTAATAAATCCAGATTTTAACTTATTTAATTCAAAGATCGGTTTATTATAGTTTATTCAATCTCCAATTAATAAAACTGAAAGATAATATCAAACTAACTTGTATTGAACTATTTATTATTAGAATTATCAAATTAAATAAAAATTCAAGATTCACCATCGCATCTCATATTGCATTCGTTAATTTCCTCAGGCGGAGCACACCAATAATGATCATTAATCTGAAAGAAATTTTTATATTTTATAAATATACAATTAAAAATATGATAAGTGGTCCTTAAAATCGCTCTTAAAATAAATAAATAAATGTATTTATTTATAATTACTTGAAAAAGTCCATGATCATAACTGTTATCGTAACCGTTAGGACCGCCTTTCGCTGTTGTGTTAAACTCACTTTCATGTTTGACTAAACATATCCCTGAATAAAAATATTTCAGTTATTGGTTAAAACATTTACTAAACTAAATTAAAAGAAAAAACAATTATATTTACTTACAGTTAGCAACATCTTGTTTAGAGAAATCATGTTTATGTACCAGTTCCTTAGCCAATTCACACGAATCGTAAATCTTACTTTCTACAAATGTTAATATCGATATCAACAAGATAATGTACATGTTTGACATTAAACAATAACTGGTTTTTCTACACTTTAACATCTTAAAGTCTTTCTCTTCTATGAGAAGAAATGTCTTTGTGTGACTTCTATTTATAGTAGTAACTAATTGTGTTATTGGTTATTTAAATATTATCAGTTTGTCCTAATTATTCTTATTATTTCAACTTAAAACTGAATTGACCCACTTGTAAATTTCGGCTCGTGATGATGCGTATAGATAAGATTTATTTGAAGAGAAGAATATCTTTTAGGTTAAATTGAAAAAAAAAACAAAAAAATGAAAAATTTATTATAAGATGTAGAAATGATCTTAAGTAGCAAAAAGTTTGTAAAATAAATTATAATTTATATTTAAAAAAAGAATTTAAAATCTAATAAAATTAAATATGAAAAAATTGAAGTATAAAACTAATTTTAAGAAAGGTTATCGTTCAGTTATATAATTTTAAAATTAAAAGTGTGTTATCTTAATCGAAACTTTTATCAGATATTGAATTTTAAACATATTAAATTCATATTTTGGAATAAAATAATCAAAAACGTTGAGAGTTTGTTTGGGACCGGGGGTTAGGAGGGCCTCTTTTGTCCCATTTGTTCAAGAAAAATGGCAAAAGGACCTCCCTTTACCATTTTTCATGGACAAATTAAATACATTGAAAGTTTCTTTATTAATTAAAAACACTCTTAACTATTTTGTTTTCTGTTAATAAAAATTGCATTATTTTATACAGGATAGCAACCATTACGGGCCCTAAAGTTTTCTCCTGGCCCGGAGAAATATTCACTGCTGCCACTTCCTGTTGACTATCTTGCAGACAATTAACTACTAAAATCGAACTTAGAACATATTATATTTTGAAATTTAAGAAATAAAATCATATTTTACTTTAAACTTTATGCATTGAAATAGTTCTATATTTATATTTTTAGAATTTGTAAAATATTAAATTAAAAAACTTTAAATATTTTTAAAATATTAATACAGATTATTTTAGTCTAAAATGAATTTTTTTTAAATTATACTCACAAATAGCTTGTAGAAGTTACAGATAATTTGATATTATCACTAAAACCTGATGTATACGAGTCGATAATATGAAATACCCTGGAGATATAGAAGCAACGTATGAATATTCTTCCATATTTGTAAGCCTATTGTAACTATATAAAATGAAATTTCTTTAAAAATTTTAAAGTATTATTTCGTGTAGTTACAATACACACAATAGCCATAATAATAAATATTTGGTTTTAAGCAAAATAAGATAAATTTTATTGTAAATAAACCACTTCGTAATCACGCATTTTTCTAAATAAAAATATTTGTAACGAATTTATTTAATAATTTATATTCATATATGTATTTTAAAAACAAGTTTTCAAGCTGTATTTATGCTTATAATGTGTTTACTTGAAAATTTTTAAAAAATAGTAGGTTTTAAACTGTAAAATTAATTAATTTTATTTGAAACTTTAAGATAAGATCCAATTGTTAGCATTGAGAACAAGGTCATAAGAAGATAACTTGCGTTACAACACATTTACATAAATATATTTTTTTTTCTATAAGTTAATAGTAAAAAAACGTGTATAAATATAGAACATCCTTATCTGACTAATAGTTTTTTATTAATAAAATAATTTATGAATATTAAATTGTAGAAGATATAAAATTGAAATAAAATTGATGAAGATAAAATTGTTGAAGATATAAAATTGAATATGAATTCTAAATTCATGCCTTGAGTTTAAAATACATATTATTATTATTATTATTATTATTTTAAAATTTTATAAGAATAAATTGTGGTAAAATTTTGGTTTAAGTTTGAATGAGCATAATTAAAAGAAAAACATTTTTTATAATTTTTATACTGTACCATAAATAAGAGAATAATAATTCATTTTTATGTAAATAAATAAATATTTGTGCGTGATTTTAGCATTATAGAAAAATTATAATAATGATAGCATAATGAATATACTGTACATATATTCAGCAAAAAATTATACAGACAAACATTATATCAGATTAGTCTGGTACAAAATTTTTGTGCATACCCTGTATATCTTACATGAAATATAACACAGAACACTATTCATATATACTAGAATGATTTTTACTTAATAAAATCCTATATTTCATATAAATAAAATAATATTGATAAAAAGTTTATTTAAAAAATAAAATTTTTATTATTTTTTTATTTTTTTATTATATTTTAACTACGTCTCGAAATAAGGTATTTAAGAATATAATAATATAAATGTATAAAAGTGTTTTTCATAACTTTTACATATTAAAATAACAATATATGGATAGAGAATATACAAAAAATATACTAATTAATATACTAAAAGATGTATTAATAATTATTATTTGTTATTTTCTTCATTTTTCTGTTTTGTAGGAAATCTCTATGGATTCTGCAAATGCATTAAATGCATTTACTGTACAGTAAAACTCCAATTATCCGGATGTTGATTTTCCGAATTGCCAATTACTCGGATTGCCCTCCGACTTTGTAAATGTATGTACAGTATACAGTACTGTATATGCATGAAGAGTAATTTTTAGTGTAGAAATTCATTTGTAGGTACTTTTTCAAATTTAATATATTATTTGTATATAATTACGTACCTGTACACATGTACTATACAATACATAACAAGGTGTTTGGATAGAAAAAAAAATAACTATTTTAAGCAAATATCAAATTATCCGGCTATTCCACGTATTCAGACAGTCCAAGAACCCAATTACAGTAGAGCGTCGATTATCCGAATCAATTGGGAACTGGGGTTGTTCGGAAGATCGGTGTTTCGGATAACCGATTATGTACGAAAAAAATATGTTAATTTATTCCATCTTGACATTTTTCTCGTTGCGTGTCGCTTTGCGTTGAATTTTCGTCGATGTTAAGCCTAACGAAGACTATTGTATCGTTAAAAATTATTTTTTTATTTTGTACGAACAAAATAAATATATTGAAAAATATAAAAACAATAAAAGATTATACTTCAGATGTTAATTTCGTATCAAAAACGTAAAATATTTGAGTAGCCCAAGACATAGCCAAAGATTGCAGCGCCAAAGCACTGGCGAAAATTTAAATTTGCCAACTGGAATTCTTTCGGATAATCGACGCTCTACTGTAATTCGGATAATTGGAGTTTTAGTCTATTTCATTGTTTTCTTAAAACTACAAGTTTACATTTTAACGAATTAAATTTAACAAATTTAAAAATAAATTCTAATTTCTGAATATTTTAATTTTTTGTTAACATTTATCTCGTTTCTTTTTTAAAAATATTTTCGATATTGAAACTAGAGAAGAGTTGGATTATTAGTACCGGTTAGCTACCGAGAAGAGATTATATATAACATTTAATCAAGAAAAATTATAAGTATGATAATTGAAAAATTAATTGACAAGAGAGTTATAATTAAGATTTATATCTGTAGTATGTAATTCCCTTTTAAAATTCTTGTTTTCAAATTCTATTTGATAAATTTTTAGAACTATATATAAGCTAATCCATATAAGAAAAAAAATAATACGTGTCCTCCTGAGAGTATAAGTAATACTGTATTCCAAATTTCATCGAATTTCCAAGAGAAAACATGAAAGAAAATATCAAATAAAATATTTATGAACAAACATACGGAGTATCAAATATAGTTTTTCCCATTATCTTGATTAATGAGTTATAATGTTGATTTTGAACTTTGAAAGTTGAATTAATTAAATCAAACTTTAATTCGTGCCATGTTGTAAGTAACATAATATTGAGTTTTAAAATAAACTTTCATAAATATATTAAAAAGCCTTAATTACAATTTGCAAGAAAATCTAATTATTAAAGTAGAATACGAGCAATTGTATTGATTTTTACTTAAAAAAATAATTTGATATGTGATATTATATTGTTTATAATTAATTTATGTAGATTTATTATGTCAAACATAAATACATAAGCTTAAAAATATAAATATAACAGTTTATTCTAGGCTTTTATAAAAAAAGTTGTATTCAATGAAGTCGTAAATAATTTCAAGGATGTATTTTCAAAAGGTAAAGTCGTAAATATTATTGTTCTTATTTTTTTCACGTTTTATATCCATATATATTTTAAATTATATTATAAAAATAAACATTTTACAAATTTAATTTTAAACGCTTTATATGTAAAATACATTCTATATATAATATTGCAGCTGTTTCATAAACATCTTTATAAATTATTTCACAATATCTGACGGCTTTGATTTAAATAATAATAAAATTCTAAACAATTTTTAAAAGTAAATTCTTTAAATACGCCTAATACATTATCATGTTTCTTTTGTCCTTCTATAAAAATATATGCAATGAAATAATTTTTTTAACTTGATTTATAAACAGGTTTCAAACATCTGTTTGCGTACATTAGCAATGAATTTCATTATAAATCCTAATGATGATAAAAATAATTACTGTAATTAGAACAGGAAGTCATAATTTCATTATAATATATCTTAAAATTAAACATTATAAATGTTTGCTAAATAAATATTAAAAATTTATTAAATAAAATCCAATTCCATCCAATATATATAAATTATATTCTAACTTGTTTGTATTATATTAATTTTTAACTTTTATATGACTTTAATTTTTTTCTATTTTCATGTTTATAAAATTTGCAGCTTATTTAAATTACAATCAGTTAACCTATCTTAGATGTTTGAAAAATTTAATTATTTCTAATTTTATCAAACTTTCTATATGACAAATGAATGCGAAAATTCTGTGTTAAATTCACATTTTATTTATTATGGTTATGAATAAGACTTCGGTTTATGTGGTTCAATATTATAAAAATTAATTTTTTTAGCTATAGACCTACACTAATTTGTTTTAGTCATGTTCTTAGGTTTTAGTTTTAGTTTTAGTAATTTAAAACTGATCGATTCAATATTGATGAATATAATATACTGAATGTATTGATATATTATATTCATCA